CCCCTGTTGTCATCGGAGGGCACCTGTTTACTCTTGCACTTCCTCTCCTCCCCCAGCTCCCCGCTCATCCCAGACTGCATCCTACTGGCAAAGTTGTGAAGAATCTGTCTGGCCCGGTTGTTGGAGTTTCTTGTTCTTCCCACCATCCCTTCAGGAGAGTGTGGGAATGGCCTGGTTTCTGCAGATCTGGGAGCTGGGTGTGTATCAGGGAGAGGGGAGGATTCTCACTGAGCCTGTACCAGCCAGGGCTGAGCGCCGCGGGCCAAGGCGTGGGGGAGCACAGTGCCTTCTGGGAATACGCCGCGCTCCCCACTGCGCCTTCCTCTTCAGTGTTGCCCCTGCAGAAGTCTCTGTTCTCCTGAGGTCTGTGCCTCCTGCTCAGGCATTCTTTCTCCGACGTCACCCATCTTCTGAGCCCTGTTCCCTGTAGTCACTTTCAGGAATATTCCTGGGTATGACTCTTTCTTCCCCCTGACAAGGAAATGCATTTTATCCTTGACTCCAGTAACCACCGTCTCCACACCACTCCGTGCCAGTGGCAGGGCAGCATCTTAGAACGCTCATCAGTGGTCAGTGTCCTCTAGCCAGAGACCACCAGGAACACACCTGTAACTGAGCAAGTTGGGTTTATTGCGTGGTGCAGTGATGGAGACCTCACACCGTGGGAGCCATGGGAGAGCTCAGAACAAGAAGGTGCTAGAGGAAAGTACTTAAAGGACTTGGGTTTGTGTTTGGTGACTTCGGGAAGGGCTTAAAGTAGCAGGGCTTTCGCTCTAGATCAGGACCTGGGTACCTCTGGGCCGATATCTTAAATCATATCTCTAGGGAGGGCAGCAGAGCTAACGCTGTCATTGGAAAAGAAGCAGCAGTCACTCGTTAGCTGGGCTTCCCTGTACTTTCTAACATGGCCAATGTGTATGCTTTGTCTGTGTTCAGCTATAGTTTCCAGGTGGCCGTGTTTTTGTCTTGTTCCACCATGGTCACAGAGTGGCCTTATCTGATGTTGATTTTTCACAAAATCATTGACATTCAGCAGGAGAATTTGAGGCCCAGACCAGGCACCGGGCCAGCTCCGAGGTGTCAGGGGCTGCTTCTCTTTCTCTGTCTTCACTGCTCTGAACTGCTCCACTTCAGAGATTCACCTTCTTAATCAAAACCTCCACCTCCTTCCTCCTCTGCCACTTGCCTGCCCCCTGCACTCCTGTGGAGACTTGTCCTCAGCCCATCCATGGTGCCCCCGTCTCTCAGCTCCTCTCTTGGTCAATCCTTTCCTTGACCAGACAGACACCATGCAGTGATGAGCTGTTGGCATGTGTGCTGATGGTCCAGAACCCCTCTCCTCACTCCTTCCTGTCACCCCTTTGCCAGTCCCTTCCTCTTGGGGCCCCATCATTGACTGTTCCCCTTGCAGGTTTCTGAGCACTTCAGTAGAAGGCCATATAAACCAAAAACATGTGTTTTCTGCCCTCAGCATCACGAAGCCATTTGGCAGTCCTTTCATTCATAACTTGTTTACTTCTTGTTGCACCCCCCACCAAAGCCATTTTCCCAACAGTTTTCTCTTAAGGCCACCAACGTCACCTGAACCCCCTCCTTCTGGAAGATGGTCTCAATTCCCACTCTATCAAGAAGCTAGAAACCATCCGTTTGTTCTACCTCGGCTTCCTTATTTTCCCTACTTTAATTTTTTTTCTCCTAAATCTCAACCCATCTTCTTTCCTGGGATCCTCTCTGAAAGGAGGAGATCTCAGTTCTTTCATAGCCTAACCCCGCTGTGTGTATTCGTGATGTGTTGCCTCTTCTCAGCTGCCCCCTCACCTTGCTGACTCTCCTGGCCAAGCACCCTCTTCAGCCTGACTCCTTCCCTTTGTAGTGAAATTCCCAGGAGGTGATCTTCCCCGCGTGTGCCCTTCCTCCTCATCCATCACACCTTAATACTCCTCTTCCCGCCTCTGGACCTAACGTTGTCCCGTCATCACTTTTTCATAGACTCATCATCTTTGTAAATTTGACAACATCAGACAGGTTTTCTCCTTGAATCTCTTGAGACAGTGCCCTCCCACATCTCCTGGCTCATGGTGGTTTACTCTTCAGAATCTCTATACTTAGATTTCCTCCGTTACTCTGATCCCCACCCTCTTCCCCTGCTTTCTATGTTTTTTCTTCCTTTGTCTATCTTCATAGTCCTCTTTCTCTCCTGCACCCCCTTAACAGTCTCATCTGCTCCCTAACTTGAGTAATTCACAAAGTTGTCTGTGTCCTTGGCCTTTGTCCAGAGGCCGGATTCTCTATTTCTAACTGCTTGCTGAATATCTACAGCGTGATGTATTATCAGGACTGAAACATCAGTTGCCTAAAACTAGATTCATCAGTCTCAGCCGAACCAGTTTTTTGTCCCGTTTAATGCAATTCTCATTCTCTGCATCCACAGTCATCTTGGCTGATCCCATGGGTTCTACCCCTCGCGTGTGGCCCCCACTTAGGGAGCTCACTAGGTTAGACTTCCGTTGTGAGGGGCTCTTACCTTTCATTTCAGGGCAGGGCATTTGTCTTACTCAGCTCTGCTTGCCACTTAGTACCCAGCACAGTGCCTCACCCAAAGGAATGATTGACTATAAATTAAGCATTTTAGTGCTTTACTTGCATTTCATAAGCTGTTTGTCATTCAGCATATTTTTTGTCATTATTTCCCTAAATACTTTTATTCTTTACCAAGCAAGCACCAGAGTAAAGTTTCATACCCAGAACCTCAACTGTGGTACTTCTGCTCTTTTTCAAGAAAAGCAGTTAGGTAAAGGCGCATGGGTCAGTTGGGAGGCATTAATTTAACTTTCCTTCTTATTATGGTTTCATGGCAATTTTATGATGTCTTTTGTCTCCCTTTATGCATTGATTTCTTTCTGCTTTTTCGCTTCTTTACTTTTTAACAGGTTTTCAAAATGGAAAGTATCACTATGACATAAGATGCTATTGATAGTACATCAGTGTGATTCAGCTGTTCCCCTGCCCAGCAGAGTGTGGTTGCTCTATGCACAGTCCTGTAATACATATTAGTTACACAGACATGAGAGAAGCCCTTCCCATCCATATGTATGTGCAGGGCCCGTGGAAGTTAATAATGCCATATATCACATGCACAGAGAATGTAAAATGTACTTCCGAATGACAGCAGGCTCGTGTGAAATGAGTATTGGCTTACAACAAGAGGAAGACAGGGGAAGGATTTTTGTCCTTTCAGACCTGCTGCTTACTGAATTATTTGTTTCTGGGCGTCTCAGTATCCCAGACTCAAATTCTGCCCTTTTTTTGTTGTTGTTGTTAATCAATAAATGCCCCTCTCTCCAGCCACCGTATTTTACTTCAGCCACATGGATAACAAAAGAACCCCTTTGGAGAAATGAAAGATAGCAATTATACATTGGTATTCATGTTACAGGAGTCACACTGCCGTCCTCGGGGAGTTTAACAATGAATATCCAGCATTAATTGCCACAGTAACTGCGCGTCTGACCTTGCTGAAATGTAATACATCAGTTTTACATAGTAAAATTATTTGCGACTAAAAGATTAAAAAAGAATGATCATAAAATTATATCGCTGTTTAGAATGACCAGTATAATTTTGTTGTTTTTAAGAAGATCCTGGAGGACCCAAATGACTAGGCCGCTGTATTTTCTTAGGAATCAGGACACTGGGAGTTGAAACCATAATTTTCTCGTTTATTTGGTTGTCAATTATGACAAGACTAGTGCCTTTCGATTCTTATGAAAGGTGAATAAAATACATTGGTATCTCCGGTAGACCTGTGGACCTGATTAACAAGGCATGAGGGCATAGTACTTTTTATCCACTGGGGGGAAAACGTTCTTTTTGTATATTTGTACCTAATTATAGGTGGAATTTTCTGCCAGGAACAGAAACAGGCTAGGAGCCTTAGAACTTGTTTCCGTTTCTCAAGAGGCAGTGTGGTTTTTAAGGTGAAGCCTATGTGCTGTCAACTTTTTTCCCTTCCATCTTTTGCTCAGACCCTCAGGAACACAGAAGCTTAGTTTTGTAACCTGTGTCTCTGTTTTCCCCGGCTCCTTTCCTCTGGCTGGGCATCGCTGGTCGGGAGGGTTTCACACTCCACACCCTGGGAGCATTCATCACTCAGGGCCGGCTCCACACTGCTGGGTCAGCAGCGAGCCAGACCCGACAGAGCCACGTCAGCGGGCCACGCCAGGCTCGGGGCTGTGCGAGCTGTGTGTGCAGAAATGAGTGATTGTTCAGCCTTCTCTCCTTTTTGAAAAGGACCGAGGTGAAGAAAGTCAGTGCACTCACCCGTGACATCCAAATTTCAGGCTAGATGAGATTTGAACTAGAGATGCATTTTTGCTTGTATTCTGACAAAACAAGTACCTGGTAAATGTGAAGGCCATCTCAGTTTTGTGGGGTGGGGGAAATAAATGAACTGAATGATAGAATGAGTAGGTTTTTTGCCCACTTTTCAAATCAGGCTGTGATGTAAATAAATATGACTTATGTATCCACTGTTTAATATGGCTTGCTCACTATTTTGTGTTTAAATGATGTTTTATATGATTTTCCAATTTTAATATAGTGACTGCCTAAGAAGTATTAACCAGGTAAAAGAGAGTATAGTGCCCATGAAGTTAGTATGTTGTCTTTTTGAAACTTTGAATTTCTTAATTCAGATCATTCAGGTAGTTTAAAAAATGAACTGAGTCTCATCCCCAGTTTAATTTTTTTCCAATTTTCTTTAAAGTATGGATGTCTTTCTGATGCTTTATATGTCCAGAGAACTTGAGCCTGGTCACTGTATCCCTAGAGGGAAATTCTTGACCAGACTCTCCTAATTTGTTCTGAATCCATAAAGAAATTACGGTGGAAAGCAACTAGAGAAAACGCTGCAGCTTTAGTAGCTCTCTTTTTTCCCCCTCTTTAATTTTCTCTCCCTTTTTCCTTCTTCCATCCATCACTCCCATCTGCAATGAAAGCAGGATGATGAAGTGACGACCATTCAGGTTAAGGAGCAGGACCAGAATGTCCTGGTGCTGAAGAAAGTGCAGAGCTGCCGCCCAGCCCCCCAGGCGGGGAGTGTGGAGAGTGATTGGAGGTGAGTTTCCACCGAAGCCCTGCGCTCCTGTCTCCTTCTCCCTGCCTGCCTCCCCTTCCCTCGCTCCATCTCACTCGCTCTCTCTGCCTCCTCTTTCCTCCCTCCCTCCCTTTTTTCTCCGCCTCTCCAGCGGAGCGAGCTCCAGCGTTCTAGCTGACTGCGGAGCTCTTAGCAGCCAGATGGATTTGGTTCCCCGTGAAAGGACAGAGATGGCAAGATCTTGTAGCGTTTAGGGGATGCCTTTGTTATTAGCCGCGCACAATGGGCAGCTCCCGGCTGAGGGTCTCTGACCCTCACTTAGAGAGGAAGGATTCCGCCTCGCTTTCAGACCGAGAGCTGCCCTTGCCTACCTTCGATGTGCCTTATTTCAAATACATTGACGAGGAGGATGAGGATGAGGAATGGAGCAGCCGCTCACAGTCCTCCACAGAGGATGACTCGGTGGACTCTCTGCTCTCTGACAGATACGTGGTTGTGTCTGGGACCCCGGAGAAGATTTTGGAGCACCTTTTGAATGACTTGCACCTGGAAGAAGTCCAGGACAAAGAAACAGGTAAGGCAGCGGGTATCTGCTGCTTCCAGACTCACAGCTGCGGCTGCCCTTGTCAGCACCCGTAGGGGCAAGTCTCCCGCGGTAGGCGAAAACCAGGGTAGGCTGAACTAGCATATGCTTTGTGCGCCTCCCCCTTGGCCTCGTGCTGTTTTGTTTCAATCCAGTAAATGGACACATGTAGATCCCAGCAGCCTCCTGGGAAGCAGCCGTACAAAGAAAATGGTATGAAGGCAGATGTTCTTGTTTCTTTGGCAATTTTCACTAGATCTCACCTAAAGGCAGTTGGCAAGAGGCCAGCATTCAATTGCATTTATTCAGTGGGAAGGAATCTGAAGGGTGGGGGTTACCAGCAAGCATTTACCTGGCCTGCGGGAAGCACTGAGCTGGGGGTAGTAAGCCTCCCGGCCGAAATGTCAACAATTAACGCAACTGCTCAGCAGCTATCAGCTTAGCAGCAACTTCTGCCTTTTTTCCAAGTGGTTTACAAACTGCTCAGAGCTAGCCCTGCTGTGCAGAATATGATACTCATAGCTTCTCAGAGCAGAAATGATAATTCACTAAGTCTTATTGACCAGACTTCTTGTCCTTTCTACTTAATCTGGGAGCAAAATATCCAGTTGGCTTTGTCACCCTTGCACTTTTGGAAACGCGACCGTTGCATGACCTACCCTACTTCCTTTATCACAGAAGGACAGAACTTGCTTCTCTTAATCGGAATTTGTCACTTGTTCCAGCCTGGAGCAGTTATTCCAGTGAATAGGCCTCTGGCTACAGCCTAAACTCTGTAACTTACGCCCCTGACTAAAAGGCACTTTTTGCTGCCACCATAGCACCTGTGATGCCCACAGTTTGCAACATACTGACTGCATCAATAACGGGCATTTTTAGGTTGTATTAGTCCAAAGTAACTCTTAAGGTTTTTCTCATGCAGGCAGAATTGTGAAATGACAGCTTAGGTGGGAACTAGAGTTTCCTTGGGTCCCAGTAGTTTTGTCTGAACTTAATTGATGTGTGGCTCTATAATGCATTATAAAGGACATTAAGAGAAACAAAGACGTGAAATATGTACGCAGAGGGGAAGAATAAAAGGCCAAATGACTCAATCACGCATCCTATAGTCATGTTATTTATCATTTGATCTCAAAATTCAAATACACATTATTTTGCATATGTATGTTGGAGGGAAAGTATCAGTAATTGTCATTTATGCACAGATAAGCTAAAAGAAGAACATATTTTCATGGCATTTGCTGGGTTGTTTTTGTATGTCTGTCGATTAATATTCTGTGCATTTGTGATTATTTTGATCAGAGATAACCATCATGGAACTGGCCATAATTTTCCTTGTCCTGATTGCCAGACTGCTTTACACTGGTGGTTTGGACTAGATTACAGGCTAATTATCTGCTTAGAAGAGGATACCTTTAAACGTGGGGAGTGGTTTGGGCATTTGAATGCTTTCTTCTTAACAGCACCACAGTTCTAGTGAATATGACAAGACTTTGTGTCTAGGTCATATTAGTAAGAGTAGAAATCATTATTTCTAGGCCTACTTGATTTCTCTTTTCTTTCTTTCTCGTTGTCATGAGTTTTTCGTGAAAGATGGCCTAGGTGCCCACTAACAGGTTCCCACTTTTCCACACTGGGAATGAGAAATCACCCTCATTACTGACAGTAATGCCGGAAGTTGCCTCCTGCTGGGAAATGGTGGTGTACCTGGGGTCTGGTGACTGTTATCCCCCAGTTTCCTCTCAGTTATATCAACCCTGGGATCAAATCTGTCACTTGCGACATGCTGAGCCCAGCAAAGAGGACCAGGACTTGGTGGCATGACCTTCACGGGACAGGGAGAGCCCAGTTGGGGTCAGCCCCTCCTCACCCCTGCTCATTGCCTTAGAGTTTACAGAGGACACATGTGAAACTTCAGATGTTTGCAGAGACACTTGAGGGGAAAAATGGTAACAACTTTTCCTCTGATCAAAGGAGAGTTTTATGAAAATGAAAACTCAACTTTGGAGGGTGATTGATGTATAAGTCACATGCACTTCTTCAAAACTTCGCTAAGAGCACTTGGAGAAAAGACAACAGAAAAGCCACCATGTGGCTTTTGCTGTGAAAATGAAAAGAAATATAAATATGAAATCAGTTTTGTGTGCAAATTGAAGAGAAGTGGTTGTGAGTTTGTTCTAGTCTGAATGCTAAATGAATCACATGTTTAAAGCAGTTGAGGCCCCTCCTCATGGACAGAGGTGAATTCTAGTTCTTTATCTTGGTCAGGCTGGTGAGCTTCATTGTAAAAGGCCTCTGTGTGCAAGAGCCTAATAGAGTCACATAAACATATGGAAGACAGATGGAGGAAAATGAGACAGGGCTGCAATAAAAGTATACAGCAGCGTTTTTATGTTCCTGAGAGCCCTTTTAGGGAGACAGAACCATATGGGGCCGGGTGGAGCCATATGGTGGTTGTCCACATGGCCCCCGATGGCAATGAGGAGGGAAAAGGGTACCTGGGAGGAAATAAGTGGTCCTGAAGACTGGGATGAGCCTCCTCTGGATTCTTACATTCCTGTACCCAACAGAGGCTGGGGAAGGTAACCAAACAAGAGATGCAAGTTATTTCCTATTTCTTCTCTGCAAAAGTCACTTAGTTGTGAAAATGTAGGTGCAAGGCCTAATAGAAGAGACCTACACTCACAAAGGACAGGTTGAAGTGATTACTAATTGATGGCAACATGCAAATGGGAAAAAAGTTTACGTAACTGAATGGAATAGAAAGGAGAATGCCAGGCCTGTGAGATAATGTATTTTTGTTGTTACCTGAATCAATAATAGAATAGAAAAGAGGACACAAGTGAACTTATTTGCAAAACAGACTGAAGACAGAAAACAAACTTATGGTTACCAGGAGGGAAAAGGGTGTGAAGAGGGATAAATTGGAAGTTTGGGATTTGTAGATACTAGCTACTATGTATAAAATAGGTAAACAAC